TTGTTCATTAAACATTGATAATAAACTTTTAATTCTCATTTTCATCACACTTCATCTTGAAATATCTTCAGTTTATATCAATTTACTCTAAAGTAGTTCACAATATTAAAAAACATCAAAATCAGCCTCAACCTAAGCTTAAGCCTGGACATTATCTTAATTGTACGATTAACGCCAAAAATAAAATTTGTTATTTTCACTGATTTCAATAATTTCAATTTTGATTTACTGTTTAAGTTAAATTTGTCAAATTTTTATAATATAATGAGTCTCTATGACAACAATTTAAACTTATTTTTAACCAACACTTTTAAATAAACGGTAAATTTGCAAAATTACAAGAAAAGGGAAATTTGAAAGTCAAGTTCCAAGTCTAATTTTGTTCATGTTTAACATATTAACTGTTCATTTGTTAATCATTTGCCAAGTTGCAACTCTTCTGATTCCCAGTGACCAGCTAATTACACAATTGTCGCTAATAATATGCTCAAACATTGAAACCCAATCAGGTTAAAATGTAAAGTTCATTATTGATTGTTTTGCTTTCCATTCAAAATTGTCATTCAATCTTTCCATCTACCCCATTTGATTATTTGGAACTTGTTATTGATAAAAAAGTGTAGATCAATAATCATTAACTTAAATTTTCATACAATGTAGAGCAAATTGCCTTTTTGTTTTTGTTAATTTAGTTGATTTATTTCTCTACAATTAATCTTCTCTATCAAAAAAAGCCTTGAAAGGTTAATAGCAATTTGTCCCAATTACCTTGAAAAAAACATCCAATACAAACCTCATCTGATCTGAATCATGACAGAGTTACTAGTCAGTAATAATGGCTTTATGTGTTCAACTTCAATTGATCGTTTAATGTTATCAACTTTTACAATCATCAATCTATTTTTAAGTGTACATTGAATACAAATTTTAATTGAGGTTGACAAAAAAATTAATCACCAAAACCTTGAATTGAAAACCCAAATTGTACAAAATTTGCAAGAAAATTTCCAAAGGTAAACTGAATTTACATTTTCAGTGATAAGATTAACCAGTAAAAGATGATCACACAATTATATGATCCAAAAATCCCCAGATAATACGACAAATTCAATCGCAGACGATTTTACCAGGTGATAGTAATTAAACCAAGCTGTCGATAGTTGGTGATGGTTAATTCATTAAATTTGATTCCAGCTCCGATAATATATGAATGCATAAATACATATGTATTAAATACACAGTGTTGAATGTACAATGTATAAATCAGTTATGATGAGCATTTATCGATTCTCTTAAAGTAATATCTTTGACGAACCGCTGATTATATCTTTAATTTATGATTGAGTATCTTTAATCTTGATTATTCAGAATAAAAAAATACGTAATTTGAAATATAATAATTATTCCTTTCAATTTCAAGTGTTTACAAGTTGATTGTTATCTTGAGGTAACCAAAGACTGGTCAAGTGCTGGGTTGTTTAACCTTACAATTTGAGAAAACTAACAGAAAGGCTAATCAAGGATTTAGTAAAAGCCATTACTCTATGAATACACAGTAAATCAACTCAATTTATTCAATATTTCCGAATAAATTGTCAACTTTCACAATTTAACGATGAAAATTGTTGAAATTTTTACCTCTTTGATGGTCCGATTTTCTGGTAAATTCAAATGGTAAGGCTGATGAACTTGTAATTGTTGAAGGAAATAGGTGTTGAAGCTGTTGATGTTTACCAGAAATACTTGCAAGATTGTTTCTACTGTTAACCAACTACAATCAACTAGAGTTTCCATCATCACCATCATTAAACAATAAGTTAATAATAGGGAAATGTGAAATGCTAAATGATATGTTTCAATCATAATTAAAAGGATATCCTAACCTTGGCTATTAACATTGAACAAAAGTAAAATGAAAACAAAGTATGGCCTCAAAAAAATGTGATATTTTACTATCAACTGCTGTTGTACCAAGAAATAGCCTCTGGTTATTGAATAGGTTTTTGATGAAATAGTCGATGGAAGAGGAAGAAGACGAAGAAGATGATGATGATGATGAGGGCAAAGAATTAATATTAATCATTTAACCTTGTCAATTTAATTTGTTTTAGACAAAATCCTTCAGAAACTGGAAGCTGAATGATATTGCAGTAAATGATAGTTCATTCTTGATTTCTGGTTTAATCCTGATGATTTTGATGTACAATTCATTGCAACATTTAATTTAATTGAATTCAAGGAAATTAATAATATTAATATTGTTCTTTAATTGTTTATCATTTAGTTGCGACAATAAAGTTCTGGTTACTTTATCACAGTCAAATTATGGTTAAAGTCGGGTTGAAAATATCAATTGTACATTGAGCAGAGCTGCTTCAGGTCTCTGCTTATAATAATTTGAACCAACTATTATCACAATGAACCATTTACACAATCTATAATTGTCTTCAATCAATTTACCCAAACTTTACCCAGAAACCAATATTTAAAAAACAGTAAAATTAACCAGAATTTGTTTTCCAGTCGGTTTACCTCTTCTGTTTACAACCAATGTTTTAACCTGTAATTCAATTTGTGACTCCAATTTTCACTCAGAATATATTAACAATTAGTTGATTTTGTTTCTACCTTTTACTTTCATTTAATTGTACTTTGAACGGCCTTGAACGATAATGACAATAATAATGACCTGAAATGCCGTTAATAATGAAAAAATTGTCAAACCCAAAGCTAAATAAAGATTTACTAAAGCAGTCAAGATAGGTTTACTAATTCAGTGAATGTTTAACTTGATACTTTTTAAAAATATTTCATTTCTACCCAAATAAACAGGTTTAACAATCAAAAATTTGTAGGAGTGGAACTTAACAACACCAAGAAATGGTTTAGTGATGAGTAAAATTATAATCAAGCCAATTTTTTCCAGCATAAATTTATCAGCATTTTATCCGTACCTTATCACGATCAAAGGTGAATGTAGTAACTATATAGAACCAAAGTCTTTATTTTCAATCTGATTTCAACCTCTTTGATTTCAATCAGTGATTAACCTCACAACTATCCATATTGTTACAATTTGAAATCAATTCATTTTGATAATTTACCAAAAACTCACTGTCTAAACATGTGTTTACATTTACATGTCTCATTCAAGTGTCGATAGTGTTGCATCTTTGATTAATCATCTCCAGTGTTTTGTTTGAGTATATGGTAATCAATATTTGTATTGGAGTTTAATTTGTCCGAAGAAATTGAGAAAATTTCATTAAATAAAGTAGTTGAATGATCCAAAAAATTAAAAAGATAACTTGGATCGAGTAAAATGGCATACAATGAATAATTATAAAAATTAACACATTTGAGCAATCAAGTGTAGCATTTTCAGATTGCTTTATCATTATCTTTATAAAATTATTTGTTACAACACAGTTTCAATAAAATTAATTGCTAATCATAAACTGCAAAATTAAACATGAATAGATATTCAAGAGTATTCAACAATTCAGTTCAATGGTAATTAAAGTTGAAGTTGACTGCCTTCCCAGTGTCTCTTCAACCAATATAAAGTAGAGCACATAAGACTGTATTTTTAGATGATCTAGGCAACGAAGAAGATGAAAACATTACAAAATTAAGTTACCATTCAAATCAATTTAAATGGTAACTTAAATTATTCCGAAGTTATTACGAGTAAAAACTTGAAGCCCATTTAGAGTGTAACATGGCCATTAGAGCCATCTGTTGTTAGGTAAACAAACATCGTGTTTTGGTCTGATGATTAAAATGTAACTTTTAAATTGTACGGTTTGGTGCTTGTTTGTAAAACTAATTGTCTGTGCAATTAGGAACTAGGAATTAGGAACACTATTTAACCTAATCTAAGTTAATGAGAGTTTAAAATACCGGTCTCCATCGACCATAATTGCATTCGTCATCTTGAATTATGAGTGACTTTGACGGTTATTGTCTGGAGATCAGGATTGCCAAGGATTATTTGATTTTATAGCGATCCATGAATTGACCAGGAAAACAACATGATACTTTTGATACAATAACAATAAAGAGGAACATTATTGAGATGACACAATTCACTATCAATTGAGATGATTAAAGTGTCTACCTCGCTCTATAAGCCATTTTTAGTCGATATTATTCAAAGTTTAAGTTTAAGCTGGTGAGATGGCGAAAATTAAAAAGTCAATGATTTATTAACTTGATCTTCAGATAATCTAACTGCGGTCAAGTTGGCAATTGCAATTAATGAATGATACAACTTAAATATGACTAACTAATCAATCCATCAAGTACATCAATCCAAACTTTAGATGCTCTGAGAAAGTTTTGAATGCAAACCAAAAAGAGAAACCATTTTTACCCGATTTGGTCAGTATTTTTATACAATACACCTACTTACCTGGAACATGTAAAGGCTGGTTTGTCTAAGTAATGGAACTCGTTTTTACCGTTGATCTAATCAATTACGGGGATTCAATAATGATACTTTGTGATCAAACAAATGAGTGATTTGAAGTAATAATGATGTGCTAATTAGTGATAATAAGTGGTCACGATACAGATCCAAATAATAGTAAACTTACCACAGAAGCAATCGAAATGAAGTAGAAAGAAATTGCAAAAATCAGCTGAACAATGGACAAGCTTAAAACGCATAGCATTTTGAATTGTACACTTGATGTGTTGAATAAAAGAAATGGAAGGAAATGAATTGTTGCTCATAAAAATCAGAATTAAAGTAGTAGTTGAAAACAGAATGATAAAAGTAGTCTGAAATGATGTAAAGAAACAATCCTTAAATTGTAAGGACAACTTGAGCTCACTAGGAAAGGGTTGGATGATTGCCGTAAAACTCTTGAAAACATATAGAATCAGTCATTGATCTAAGAATTGTGGAAACAATTGAAATGGTTTCAATCAAAGAACAAAGAATTATTCTCAGAAAATGAAAATCTTTATTTGATTTGAAATAAATTGAAGAAAGCCATTGAAGCAATTGCGCCTCAAAATAGTTCACAATGAAATTACAGATGCATAACATCGATCGTAATTTAAATTTGAAGTCAAGGAATGAGATAATTGCGGATCGCAACAATTTATTGAAAAAATCAAGAGAATGTGGTCAACACTGAAAGAGATGGTCAAACAAGAACACAATTTCAAGTGAATTGGGTAAAATAAGAGAAGTCTTTGAGTCAAAATCATCGGTTGTTACTAAAAAGGCATATCGATTGTCACAAAGTGTATGTATGTGTGTGAGTGTATCTTACTATAAGTGTTGGTTGTGTGCGTGGTTGCATATACGTTGCATATCGATCCTACAGTAACGTAAACGGGTTTCCAAACCTTTAATTTGGCTTTGAATTACCATTAGATCACTTTCTTTACGAGTTTTCTTTAGCTGTTCTTTCAATTCTTCAGCTAATTTTTCTTTTTCATATTTCAATTTGTGGACTTCTTTTTCGTCCCATCTACGGGCTCTTCTTTCTAATTCTGCGGAACCTCCAGAGATGAAACCACACTTCTGATAGAAAGTACCATCTAGTGCAACAGCATCATAACGACGACCATCACCCAAATCAAAAGCAACTTGAGCAGCATCCTCAGGAGTTTCACAGACTAATGCATTATTGGTGGCAAATAGAACAGCTCGTTCAATTTGCGGAGGATCGTATTTCAAAACATCATAAACAAGTCTCACACCTTTTGGACTTTGAATGTTTCGGAGACGTTCTTTCAAAGGTTTCACTTCGATATAGTCAAGAGGTAGAAAAGTTTCAGGCTCCATCATTTGATCTTTGAGGTATTGAATACATCTTCGAGCAGTCTCTTCTTTATCTATAACAATTGCCTCCATGTGTTTACCCATAACTCTGGTGATAGCCATGTTGTAACGCTTATGAATGGGTTTACAAAGATTTAACATACGATCGTAAACACCGGGATAGAGTTTCTTTAGATGATCAACAACTTCAGCCTTCTTTCTCCTTCTTTCATCTTCGTGACGGTCAACCTTGGCATCTCCCAATTCACCGTTTATTTGTTCAAGTTTCTTATTGATGGTGGTGACTCGTTCTTTCGCAAATCTGACAATTTCGTCGATTTCTTTCTCCTTTTTTCTTAACTCACTGAGACTTTGTTCACTCATTGAAATGTTATCTTTAAGCTTGTCAATTCTTTTCATATTTTCTTCGAGTTCATTTTGCAAAACTCTTATTCTGGACTGGATTTGTTGTTGGTCTCTTTGTTCTTGTTCGTATTTGTCAGAGTCAGCCTTTTGCTTTCTCTCCAATGAATCCAAGTCATTCAAGTACTTAGAAGACAAACGAGTAGCTTCTTCTTTCAACCTATTGTATTCTCGCCTCTGAGATTCTTCAAGAACGATTTCCCGGTTTTTGTTCGCATCTTCAGCTTTCATCTCACTTTCAAAGACTGCAATTTTCTCGTTAACTTTTTCCAGTTCTTTAGTTAATTCCATGATTGCTTCTTGATGATTCTCGTCAGCTTTTTTGGCAGCAGTCAATGATTTTTTGGCTGTTTGTAATTTTTTCTCGATATGAGAAGCATTTTCTTAAGCTTTTATGTATGCAGGTCGTTTCTTGTTCAAATTCAGTTCTACATCTCGAATTTGTTTGTCGATATTGGCCAATGTTTTTGTTATTTTATTAAGATTTTGCCTTTTGATCTTAATTTCTTCTTCTGCTTTTTCTTTCTTGCGAACCTGTACATCCAAATCATCTCTTTTCTTTTTCAAGTCACTTTGTAGACCATCTATTTCTTTTTGTATATGATACAATTTGAAAAGTTGCTGGTTAACTTGTAAAATATGAAGTTCCTCTTTAAGAGTTTGATATCTCTTAGCTTCATTGATCTCGCCTTGAGCTTCCTTCTTTTCTGCAGCAATACCCTTCTTTTTGACAAACATATGATGTAACTCTTCTTCACTGCGATCCATTGTAGTCTAAAATAAAACATGATAATTGTAAGGGGAACAGCTAACAAAGGGGAAAGCATTACTTAACATGTAGCTCTATCTGGTTGCGGTTTGGTCCAAGACCAATCTGACTGTCAACCTCAGGCAAACCTCAGGCTTGAGAACATGCTGAGGCAAGGGATCATTATTGAAAGGGGAATAGCTAACAAAGGGGAAAACATTAAATCTAATCTAAAACCAATTACTTCATCAACTCTACAATCATTGGTCACCTAAATTACCCCATGAAGATAAGAAAAGAGTACAAAAGGAAAAGACAGAAGACAACAAGGAACAGTAGTTGTTAACTCATTTTAACCGTTTACCCTTTTAAAGTATTAATCTTTATGTAATCCTCACCCATGTACTTCATTTAATCTTCCCTTTAAATCAAAAATCAGTTCCTTAAACCATATAGTCTACAACCTTGTATCTGTTTAAATTAGTTCACAGTTTCTACAAACCAAAAATAAAAGTGTTTAACTCATTCAAACGCGATCATAAAATTTATTCAAGTTTTGACTCTGGTAGCTAACAAAAATGGTGGAGATGCCCTTCGTTTGAATCAGCTATTCACTTCGTAAAGACTTAAAAGCTTCAACTTCCTTGGCTTCTTTGATAAAGCTTCGACTCGTTGAGTTTGTGTTAAAAGCTTCGCCCTCGAAAGTTAATATTTAAAGCTTCGCTTTACTCTTGTTGGTCTTGGCGTCGAAGAATCTTTGACGCTAAAGAACTGTTCATCATAAACTAATCAGTGATCGAGATCGATAGATTAAGGACGGAGATTCTCTGTCCCATCTAAAGACTCAGTGTTAAATCACTCGTGCAAGAATAGTGAACTATATGGTGTTAAGTGAATTAGATTTTTGGTTACAATCTCATCATCAAAATTGCTTCATCAAATTTTAAACAGTCTTGTGAAAATCTTATTCAGTTATCTACTGATAATCTTAACGACGGTTTCTGTAACCTGAACTCAACAACAAATTTTAACGAATCGACAGAGAATCAAATACAAGATCCGAATATTTCTCGAATCAGAATGGAAAGTGACATATCTTATCAAGAATTAACAAGAGATCAACTTATTCAAAGATGTGAAGAATGGGGTATTGTAGACCCAAGTGAAAAGTCAAATCAATTACTACTTCGAGAACTCATCAAAGCTATTGAAATTCAAGAACTCTATGAAAGAGAAGAAAAAAAGGTCATTAACGTTAGTGAAAAAGTTAAAGATTATCAATTCAAATGGCAAGATGGTATCAAATTAAGAAAAATAGGTGCTAAAGCAGAAACATTAGAAAGTTTACTGAACATTGGCATAAAGAAAATTGACAGTTTACATCTCTACGGTCGACAAGATTTAATCGACGGTGGAATAAACGCAGCACAAGCAAGTCTTATCATGAACAAATTTGTTTCAATTTCCGTAGAGGAAAATTCACATACAAGTCAAAGGTTTTATGAGAAAAACTGGGCAATTGAATCAGCTCACAAAAGAATTGGATCCAGGAGATGGCCAAATGGATCACAAAGTTTCTCAGAGTTCTTGGAAAGTCAAGAATCTGATGCTAAATTCATCACAAAAGACAAAGAAAAATGGCTCAAATGGATTGCGTTTCAACTTGAAGGAGAAGCAAGAAAAATTAGTGATAGAATAACTGATAATCCTCTAGTTTCCTATGATGAATGGAAAATTCAAATGCAAAATTCAACAGTTACTGCAGCAGAAAAATCACAGGCTTTCTTTACAATTTTGAAAAGTAAATACGAGTTTAAAGAAGATCCAAATAAATTCATTGAAAAATTTCAAAAAGCTATCAGAATTATAAAGCCAGATATGGATGAAGAAACTGTTGCGCTTTTAATTTCAACGACACTTCCAGATAATTATCAAGATTACATGATCTCTCAAGATTCAATTTTAAAGTATAGTAGTCTGAAAAAGAAACTAACAGACACCTATCTCAAAATCAATAAACCAGTCAAACTTCACGCACCTGAACACCAAGGACCAAAGAGAGTCTCCTTGCGTCCTCATTACCAAGGTCATCATCAAAGTCAAATGACAAATCAAAGACAAATAAGTAATCAAAATTATAATCAATCAAGAGACCAACAAAAAGATCAAGTCAAAAGACCCAAGTGCTCACACTGTGATAGAATTGGTCACGAAGAAGAAAATTGTTGGAAAAAGCATCCAGATAAAAGACCACAAGCATCAAATTCATCAACAAATCAAACTCAAGACAACTCATCACAGAATAAAGTCCAAGCAGTGAAATATTTTGACGAACCTATTGATGATTATGAAGGTCCTATCAATACATTGAGAGTCATTCAGAACCAGAGAATCTCCAGTTCTGATCAGAATGACTCAACATCCAAAGACATTTCAAGTACAAACGATGAAAAGAAGTTGGATAAAAGTGAATCAACTAACAATCATAATCGCATTACAAAGCTGGTAATTGGGAAAAATAAAGTTCCTGAAAACGTTCGATATCCTATGATAGATATTCAAATTAAAGAACCATTTATGACTATTAGAGCCCTCATAGACACAGGGGCCTGCACTACTCTGATTAACAAGAATATAATAGCAAGATTAGGATGGTTTGTCTATCCCTACAAGATAAGGTTTCAAACAGTTGATACTTCAACAGTCCAATGTGAAGCATTCGCTCCAATTAAAATTTGCAAAGGAAATGAAGCAGTGATAATTGCTGCCTATGTTATCCCAGATCTATCAAATGAACTTATTGTGGGGGAAAACATCATCAAAAACACCCAACTCATTATACAAGCAATTGCACCAAGACAACCATATAAGCTATTACAAAATAACTTAACGACAAATTACAAACTGGAAATTGAAGCTCCAAGTAAAGAAGACATTGAAAGATTATTAAGAAACTGGTATGGTGAAAACTTTGATATGAATCAACTATACAAAATCAGAACAAGCGACTTAGGCAACGGAGAATCTCTGTTAGCCCAAAGTAACAAAATCATTCTAACCAGATTTTTCAAAGAGGAATATTCAGCAGATTCACAACAACTCATTGCCAGAGTTGAAGAATTTCAAGAAGTAATTGATGAACTTCCAAGTGATATAGATGATTTAAGAGCGAAATTGAGAAAACAAATTAATCCTGAATTAAGTCAAGAAGAAATAGATAAAATTCATGGAATATTAATACAAGCTGAAAATTGTTTTTCTAAACATAAATTTGACTTAGGCTGTGTACCGGCCCATGTTACAAATTTCAAAATTGAAATTGGAAATAAGTCAATCCCTAAATGCAAACCATTTAGAGGTAGTGAAAAAATGAAAGAAGCAATGAGACAAATTATTAAAGAATTCAAAGAAAATGGCATAATCGAAGATTCAGATTCAGGAGGTGGAGCACCTGCTTTTGTGGTACCTAAACCAAACGGTACTTGGCGAATGGTCACATCATATATCGAACTAAACAAACTCATCGAGAAAAGACAGTACCCAATGCCTAACATCGACGATGCAATAAACCAACTTAAAGGAAACAAATACTTCACGACCTTAGACTTAGCTCAAGGTTATTATCAATTAGAAATTCCTAAAGAAGAAAGAATCAAGACAAGCTTTGTTACTGAAGATGGCTGTTATCAATATAAAAGATTACCTATGGGTCTAGCTGATGCACCATCATATTTTCAAGAAGTTATCAACAAAGTTCTTGGAGAATTAAGGTATACTTGCTGTTTTGGTTACTTTGACGATATTGTCATTTATGGCAAAACAATTGATGAAATGTGCACAAATATTTCAAAAGTCTGTCAAGAATTGAAAAAGTATGGTTTCAAAAATAGAGTGGAAAAACTACAAGCTGGTGTAACTCACTTCATTTGCCTTGGCCATTTAGTCTCAGGAAAAACTGTGAGACCTGATCCAAAGAAAGTTGAGAGGATAAAGAATCTTCGTCCTCCTACTTCACATCAACAGATCAGATCTCACCTTGGTTTATTTAACTATTTCTCAAGATTTATTGAAAACTATGCAACAATCGCAGCACCATTACAAGAATTAGTTAGAAATAAATATATAGGAATCTCAATAAAACTAGATGGAAAAAGATTAGAAAGTTGGCAAAAATTGAAAAATGCACTAACAGAGAAATGCATGCTAACTCATTTCTATCCTGATCGTGAAACAAAACTGATTGTGGACGCTTCAGCAGTCGCTATTGGGGGAATTCTAACTCAAAAAGATGATAACGGAGTTTGGAATCCGATTTACTTTTTTGGCTGTAAACTTCAGAAATATCAATATGCATACAGAGTAACAGAAAAAGAATGTGCAGCAATAGTTTACGCCTGTAGAAAATTTTCTCACTTTCTGCGACACAAGAAATTCACAATTGTCACAGACCATTGCGCTCTATGTGAACTCAAGAAAAAACGATTCAAAGTAACCCGAATTATGCGATGGCAATCAGATCTTGCTGAATTTGAATTTGAAGTAGAGTATCTAAAAGGTGATAAGCACCCTGCTGACTGCTTCTCAAGATCAAATGAATGGGCACATCGACAACAAGGAGAAATTCCATATGATCATTATGATAAATACCTAAATTGCTGTTATCCCGAAAAGGATGATATTTTAATAGAAGACTATGGACTCATCGAAGAAATGACTATTATCGATGCTGAAACTGACAAATATCTTTTAAACATTGTCAAAGAGTTTGACGTTTTAGATGGAATTCAATCAGAAAGATTTCTGATAAATGCACTCACTCCTGTCTTAAAACAAAAAGAAAATTCCACAATTAAAGAACACCAAGAAAAGGATTCAAGATGCAAATTGATAAAGAAAGAACTACAAGAAGGAAGATTGGTAAAGAAGTTTGAATTGAGAAATGGCATTCTATTCAAGATCAACAAAAATAAAAGCTCAAGATACTATCTTCCAGACTCATTAATAGACGAAACATTTGAACAGTACC